GCTCACCAGCCGGGCGGTGGCTACTGACTCGCAAGTGGAGGCAGAGCTGGCGGTGGAAGGGCTGGTGCGGAGAGTGACAGCGCCGGGGGGAGGGTGGGGGCGCCGAGAGCGCGCGCGCACGGAAGCGAATTCTCTGCTCGGTGGAGCTGTGCCGAGAGCAGCTGGAGGGGACCGGGGCACGCTCGGCGCCCCGGCTGAGTTCGACCCTCGGGGCTAGCGGAGAAGCACCTTACCAAACCCCGGGGCTTCGACATGCACCTCTTTGCCGCCGTTGGTGGGAGAAAGGGCCAAAGGGGGCCTTTAGAGTTCACGGAAGGGCCACGGGCAGGGAAGAGGTATGTGTTGGCTCTTGCGCCCACGGCTTCAGGCGCTCTGGTGCCTGCCACCCATTAAAGAGGTGGGCGGCTAACCCTGCGCGGAGAGCGCTGGGTGCAGCCTCGGGGGGAGCTCTGCGGTGGGCCGGACCGATCCACACCCTTTCAGACCGAGTCCCAACAAGTCCCCTGAGATGGTGCCCCCAGGTGACATGTGCTGTCTCCACGTATTTAACTGCATGTTTTAAATGACGGCTATAGTGCGTGGATGAGCAGCACATCCGAGGTCTTCTGATCGTAATACCCATCACCTAAGAAGAACGTGTGATTGTTGTCTATGGCAGATACCCAGAGTCCTGTTTTCCTGGACCTGGGAGAGAAGACCATCTTTCTCCCTTTTTTATCCGTTGTTCCTCCCTGGGGAGGAGAAATTCAAAAGAGCAAGACATAAATAATAAAGGCCCACAATGGGTGGCTCTAAATATTTAATAATTCAACCACTGAGGTCTTGAGCTACTACAATAGTCCTCCTTCAGCATGCTGTGTGTGTTCGGTTTTTTTTTTTTTTTTTTGGCCCCAGTAATTCAACATGCAATTAATTGTCTTCACAAAGAAAGACAATGCTTTTTGGTGTCATCTTTTGTTACTGTAACTTTTTATTCCTGGGTGGTACCTCAGAATAAATTGTTGCCTCAGGTGCATTGTGTACCCATGTTGTAAAACAAGAGGCTTTGAGTTGTGAGTTTGTGTGTGTTCCAGTTGTCACCCAGTTTCCTTCCACAGGCTGGAAAATGCCTTTGAGTTCCTGATCTTTTTAAATTAAAATGTTACATCAAGGTGGACACCAATAGGCATCACCATCTTAATAGGCTCATTCTCAATTGGGGGTATTAGCTTCATTTCAAACGCACTGTGAGAAGTGTATCTAATTTCTGGTTATAATCTAGTCATAATCTGACAAGCTATTTGAACAGGAGTTAGCACCATTTGGAATTACTTTATGGGGGGGGGAGAGTCTGTTTTACAAATCTTCTCCAACTTTGTCCAGACAGAAAAATGGAAGCAGTAAACCAATATAGATTAGAATATCCATCTTCCCTTTTTTCATTCTCTTTCCTCTCCCTTTCTCTCCCTCTCTCTCTCTTTCTCTCTCTCTCACACACACACCTTTTATTTCCCCAGCCTCTGCCACAGTGTATAATGCCCTATTGAGACGTGTAGGCGTGATGTGTAAACCGGATTAGCAGTATGAAAGAAAGACACACAATAAGCTGGAATTGTTTTACTTCCCTTTCATTTCTCATGCCGATATCTCTAATAAATTTGTTGCTCCAGCAGTGGGTCAAAGGGGTCATGTTGCTCAGCTTCTTTTTCATGCAAGACCCAATGGCAGAGATCAGTGGAATGAATGGTGTGCCTTCTGCCAGATGCAAAGCTTGATATAGATATATGACACAGAGAGAGCGCGATGAGGTGAGAGACGTGGAAGGAAAAACGTTCACAGTCTGGGTCTCCCAAGAAGAAATCTCTAGCTGTTAGAAGAAAGCAGTGTGGCTAAGACAATATTGGGGAGGGGGCAATCAATGCAAGGGTCATTGTTATGTTTCCTTTCAAGTTCATGGTAGGCTCTGAAACATTCTCCATGCTATGGGCCATTTTCTTAGCAGAATACCAGTAGCTCTTGGCACTACAGGAAGGCAAATTTCGCTTTCAAGCTAGTATTGAAACCTGGAGTCATCACTGTGGAAGAGTTCTGGGACCTTCTCAGGACATCTCCCCTCCGCCGCCCTCCCCACCCCCAGCTCACTGTAAGTGCTAAACATGCCAGTGCTACCGAGTTTCTGCTGTAGACCTCGCATTCACTCCTTTGTGGAGTAGGGAGCAGCTTCCCATTAAAGGAGATCAGGGGTAATTAGCAGCATTATTTTGACAGGTTGGCTAGAGCGGTTTCACTTCCTCCATACTG